ACGTCATACCTTTTGAAGTTGCCGTCATCAAAGAAACTTTAGCAAGCTATAACTTTCTCAAATTTAGGTTTTTTTTAAATTCAAAAAGTACTAAAAATCGACTTAGATTCTCTACATTAATTATGGATACCGCCTTAATAAAAAAAGTGTTAAAACCAAATTGGACCATTGAGGCTGATGATATTTTCAAATTTGACGATAAATGTAACAAGAAACTTTATATCAGAATTATAACTCGAAATCCAAAGCAAATCGTTATACCTGGTTACTCTTGGTCGCTCTGATACAGTCGCTTCTTCTCCGTGGATTTTCGGCTTCTGAAGTGTAGCGTCCGTAACGTACCGTTACTCGCACCGTAATGGAAGATGGAGGCAAATGGAAGCTTGTGGAAGCTATGGGAGATGGGAGCTGGAAGGAGACCCGCGTTTAATTTATGCTAGTGCTAGGTCTACAATGCGAGGTCGTAAAGTCGTGAGTCGTAAGAATTGACCAATCACAATCGAATTTGAGGAGAATAATCGACTGTGATTGGTCAATTCTTACGACTCACGACTTTACGACTCGCATTTGTAGACCTAGCATTATATTGATTATTCGAAACGCTCAACAATTCTTTAATATGATTGGCTCGTACACTCATAGACCTAAGGGCAAGGATCAATAAACGTTAATTGCGAGCCCCTGGTACTTTGGGTCAGCGGAAAATTCCGCTGCTCATGCGTGCCTCGCGACGTACTTTTCACACATGCGCGTGCGACTTCAATAGCTTAATGAAGTATCAAATTTGTGAAAAAAGGGGTGCTTTTAGGTCCCCTATTTAGACATTCAAGAAATATGTACAGTTAAAAAATTTAATTAATAGTAAAAAGGAAAATAACTTAAAGAAAGTGAGCGTCAAGTAAGAAGCATGTACATACGCATATTTTTGGAAATACAGCAACACGAAAAAAAAATAAGGTTTTGCTGCAACAGCAAATATATATTTATCAAATATAGATATATAGGACAACTAACATTTTTGCGAAACATTTTGTTGCAGTAGCAAACAGTTTTGCTGAACTTTGCTATTGCAGCAAAAGGTTTTGCTATTATTGCAAAATTAATTAGCTCTCGCAGCAAAAAATGTTAGTTGTCCGTATAGTAGCAAATCCTTTTTTCCCGTGAAGTTGACTATTCGATATGAAATATTAACATAAAAATGATAAGAGGATATAAAAGGAAGCGTGTTTAAAAATAACTTTGCAGTCACATTTTTAGGCACAAAATAAAATCCTCTGTAGAATGGGGAGTTAACCATCCTTTAAAAATATCTCCATTTAGCCAAATATTATATTTTTAAATTCTATAAATATTTCAATTTAATAGCTTCTTTTCCAATATTTAAATCCATATTATATATTTAGAAAATAAAGAATTAATAAATAAAACTTTAAATTAGTGATACTTATATATACGTATTAACTTATCTTCGTGCTTCGAACTTACTAGAAAAAACTTTGCGCCCATATGTTACGTACATACTACACCGTTGGGTCTCCGCGCCGGCGCCGTCATCTCGGGATCAATATAATCGAGCCCCTCATTTCGCATGTATGTGAGAAAAGTGACATATGTGTGGTAACCCTCGTAACCATAGTAACCGTAAAAAGGAAATGCTTGCCGCGTAGCAAGGGACACGATAGCCAATCAACGTGCCGGTTTTCCGTAAGAACCAAAAGTTTATTGGCTATATCACATGGCTTTTGGCTGTGCTTTATTCTCGTCCTGTGTGCAGGATGTGAAACGGTTTTTTGAAAGTTTTTTCCATACTTATCATTCTGGAATTAAATTCTTATTCCAATACACTTATATATCATGTAAATTAGTATAATTAAAATAAGATAATGTTATTATATGCGGGTCTGACTGGGTACTGGAATTAAGTTCGTTAATTGATAGGATTTAAAAAAAAATTGTGTGCAGGCGCCATAAAGGCAGGGATGTGTTAATTACATGTCTAATTTGAAGGAAAAACAAAGATACATATATATAATTTAACTATTAATTAGTTTACCAACAACCGCCCTTACAGAAATTTAATACACTGTAAGTGATTATTTGGCAAGTGATTAATTACTTATTTTGAGTTTTGCACTGTTTTTAATGCTTTTAATACTCAAAATAAATAATTAATCACTAGCCAAATAATCACTTCCAGTATTAAATTTCTGTAAGGGCGCGGTCCTTAATATGATTGATTATTTCTTTTAGTTTTTCGCAGGATCTAAGTGCACGAACCAATCATATTAAAAAATTATTGAGCGTTTACCGAGCTGCAGTTTCCGCAGCCAATCAGGCCCTGCACACAATATTAGTACATATTAGGAATAAAAATTAAATATTAGGATATATATAAATAAATATTCTCATGATAAATATTTTAAATATTAGGATATATAAATGTGAGAATATTCCTATATTTATATCTTATATTTTATTCTTTTCCATTGTGCGTTTCGTTTCCAATTCCTAATTTTTAATTTTATTCTTATTTCTAATAAGGGCTCTATGGCTGCGTTCCGATATTCACTGTCAGTACTGAAAATCTATAGTGTACGTTACGTAAACTATAGATTTTCAGTACTTGCAGTGAATATCGGAACGCAGCCTATATATTGTGCGCGGGGTCATGGTCACATGGACCGCAGGCGCAGGCGCAGAGGGTCTCTTGTCCTTGTCTCAAGCTTGTCGTTCGCGTCGGTTCGCGACTTCGTGCTCGTCTACCTTTTCGCAGTTTAAAAGCAGATTTTATACGAATAAAAATGTTGAACGTGGAGATCGTGGGAGTTTCCGTGAAATGCAGCTTCGACACGCCGATTTCTGTGCCAGAATTAAAACAAGCAGTCGAGGAAGCAACGGTAAGTTGACCAATATTGAAACCTAACCTTAAATCTTGATCACTTTCTAAACTTCTTAAAATTCTTCACTTTTATCTTTTAAATTTTTTTTAATTAGAAGTGTAATTATATTTCTATAATTTCTTATCCGCAATATCGTTCTGATTTTCATACATAATAACGTCTAGCATTTAGCTTATTTATAAAACAATGACATCAAAATTAAATTGTGCAACAGCTGCATTGCATAAATATGTTTGTGAAACTGTTGTTATGACAAATTTTCTAATCTTTAGATGTGTCTTTAGCACTTACAATTAGTTGCTGTTTGAGTAACAACGCTTTTCCAAGCCTTTGCTTTTATACAAAAAGACGTCAGATGAACTTTAACTCTTCAAATTGTACTTTTATCAAAATCTAAGATAAAGGATCAACATTTATTGATTATAGTATTAACAAAGAAGTATCATAGATTAATTCTTGTTTTCAGGGCCTTTCACGTGAACAATATTATGTCCTGTACAACGGTCGACCCCTGCAGGAAGCTGATACCTGTCCGAACGGCCATGCAACCGTGGTCCCAAGACTGTTGGGCGGCAAAGGTGGTTTTGGATCTATGTTACGCGCGATAGGCGCGCAGATTGAGAAGACCACGAATCGCGAAGCCTGCAGAGATCTCAGCGGTCGCAGATTGCGCGACATAAATGAGGAGAAGAGGCTGAAAGCCTGGATCGAGAAGCAGGCCAAGAGGGAGAAAGAGGAGGTGGAGCGCAGGAAGAGGAAATTGGAAAAGCTGTGCGCCGAACCGAGGCACGAGTTCAAAGATCAGCGTTATGACAAGGAGCGCGCGGAGCTGACCGAGAAAGTTGAAGACGCCGTGGAGGAAGGGTTTAAAGCCGCTGGCACGTCCGGTATTAAGAGAAAACGGGAAGAGACCGATAAACCTAATAAACGCAAGACCATGTTAGATTTAGAGATCGACTCCGACGAATTTGATGATTCTGACGATGAGGATGGGGCACTACCTGTAGAGAGAACCAAGGCGAAGGAACAAGCATCGGACGAGAGCGGACATTCCAGTGACGATACCGAAAATGTCGATGAATGCATCAAGAAAACAGAAAGCGAGCATTCTGAATCATCGATCGATAATCCGATAAATGACAAGGTAGCGAGTAATGACTCAGTAAACACAAAATGTATCATTGAGTCCCGAACGTAAATGTACAAAAAAAGTAAATGATTATTTTTATACTTATATATGATGCTATAAAGTTAGATTGATTGCTTCATATCATATCGATTTATATAATATAGTCTTAGTGTCGGGAATAATATAGTAAATTTAATTTCTAATTTATTATGTCATTTATTAATCAGTAATTAGGAGTAGAGTGAAAAATTTAACGATGTGAAATAATTGTTTCAAGCAAATTTCGTGTAATAACATTGTTTTAGCATTATAAGGTATTGCAATAAATCATATATTGTTTCAAATGATGGTTGGATTTCTTCGAGGAGTTCTCTGATTTTATCGAACAACGGTTCTCGATAAATCCCATGCGTTCAATTCCCCGGTGAGTTTTAATCCGATTGCAAATAAAATCGCCGATGCGACGATCGATCTTAAGAAATCATCCGTGGACAAGTACTCATTTGTCCAACGATAAAACTCCGTGATGTACTTCGCACTAATAAGGACGAAATTGCTGTTTCTTTCCCCATGTCTTTGTTGAATCTTTAACTGTGCTTCAATTATAAAGTTTATTGAGACTTCACAAATTAATGAATATAATTTTTAACTCGTAATCACCTAGGGTGATTTTTACACTCCAGCAGCGAGAAAATAAAGCTCGATTACATTTTTTACTAATCTACATATTTCTACTAATAAATATTAAGTAAATCTATATACATAATGATCTCAAATACTAATAAATTGTAGAACAATCAATAATATATGTACAATATGTAATTAATATTGTAATAGTGACTTTTAATTGGGGTGTAAAATATACCTCAGGTGATTGCGCGCGTATATGCAAAAAAAAAATATTAGGTGATAATCTCGTGTTAAATATAAAAGTATCGGGATAAATATTGTAGATATGAAATATAACACACAGATATAATATACAATATTTAAAAGAAGTATGCTTACATCTTGCGAGAGCTCGTGGGCAAATACGACGACGACGTTTGCAACAAGTCTTGCAAAATTTAGACTGGAAAAGTCAGCGAGATCGTGATTTTACGTCAATTTGTTCATAAGTTTTGTATCTTATACGTTTCTGAAGTGGTCAATATTTACCCTGCCGGCGGTGTCGTTACATGCCGTATAAATATTAATTTTGTTTAAATTATAGGACGGGGACAATGTAGGAATTTCATTTGCAGAAACCATTTTACAGGTCTTGAACAGTCGTTTTTTGACATTCCGGTTTGTTAGGCAGAATCTTAACCTTGTTACAATTTTATAAGAAATTCGCGCAGACGTTCATTTTTTATTTATCTCTATATTAATTTTATATTGTTAAACTTGCGCGCGCACGCATGTGTGTTAGTTATGTTATTTTATTCTAAATCGTGATTTGAGATATTTGATATTCATGTAAAATCTCTCTTTGCAAGACTTTTCTTATGAAACCGTGCTGAATCTTAAATATTTCCCACAGCCTTTGCATTGTACGAAAGAACTAATTAATTGTTACAAAAACTGTTATAAAATTACGACATTTACTTTTGTAGCGATGGCATAAGAACTTTTTGAACAGTAGGTACACAATCTGCTTAAAATTCTTTTGAGACATCCTATATTTCTAAAGAAACGACTACCTACAACAATAGGCGTCCGTAGCTATTCATTGGCGTGTCCGTTACGTGCAAAACCAGTTTTTTTTTTTGCGTCGCTTTGAACCTTCAGCTACGACTTGACGAATTTTGCGAACTAATGAGATCAACGGCATTCTACTCCTAAACAATTATACTACAATAATTTGCAAACATCAATTTTTTTTCACCGCTACATATCTCCCGTTTTCCCTTAATTAAGCTATTAGTCATATTTTGTCGATAGAATACCAGCCGAGGTATAACAGAATCTGCTAGTAGAATGTAATGACAGATTGACTGCAGAAACTGAGCAAAATCTACTGTTTTATAATCATTTAAATGATGTATATTCCATTTTTCAAATGTTTTTTTTAAATACTCGTGAAATGACGAATTCTGCTCGGTTTTTTTACTGATAATTTGCTGTCAGTTTATATCAACAGATTCTGCAAAACACGAGTTTAATGCAGACAAACACAATATCGGATCGGTCGCTGATATCTGAGCAAACTCGCTATCAATCTGTCGTCATATTGCGGGCAGTTTGTTTACCGAGTACGTACGTCGACAGTCTGAGATCGCATAAAATTTTTCTTGCTATATCATAAACACTCCTTATATTCTAATTATTATTTCGAGCCGTTCATAAGAATTACGGAAGGAGGGGAGGGGATGCTCGAATGGAAATGACAATTCCATGAGCAATCAAGATCCTTCCAGTGACTCATCCCAGGCAAAGTGCGTCATCACATTACTTTCGAAAAAGCAAATACGTCTTTATCTATTTATAAATGGTCTTTGAACTTTACGCATACTCTCTGTTACGTATCGCACCTGGCTATCATAAAATTTTAAGTTTTTTAAAATACTATAATATTCTCGAAACTTTTCCGAGATGATTCTTTAACAAATAATGTCTTATACGGTATCATATCCTTAAATATAATGCTAGACTTTTTATTGCGCGATCCACGTTGCAATCTTAAAGACAGGAATTAGTTTCTTCCTAAAATCGTCCGATAGGATTTACTATTATCGGTAAAAAATTCATTTATTTAATATTAAAGGTATAAATATAATATAAATAATATTATATATAAATATATCCGTATATGTCTTTTTTCCCTTTGTATTTATGTCTGTATAAAATGACTATTTCAACGAAAAACTGCTTTATTAAGCGAAGATCTGGTCTCGAATTCAGACTTGGTTCTCCGTTTTCGTCAGGTCATTAGCGAACGGACCTTCGACTCAGCGCATTATTATACTGCGATCTCGCATGTATCGTCGTCTAAATAAAGCCTAGTCGAGAAGACGGTGTTCTATCCTTCCTAATACTTCGAAATATTATGGT